TAAAATGACCCATACGAGGTAATTTTGATATTAATAATCTTAAAACTTCACTTTCACTTTTATTATAGATATTCAAAATTCCTTTGCTTTAGCGCCTTTAGCTAAAGTTACAAATCTTATTCACTCTTTTTGTGACTTTAGCCAATTTTTCTTATAAATGGGTTTGGCATGTATTGTAGAAAAGATCAGCCTATTACAGCAGGATGTACCTGATGGAGACCTATAGTGTTTGATACGCCCGTTCTTGCAAAAGTATCTTTCCCTATATATAGACCTATCTTTTTTCTTATATAGGCAAGGCCAAGATGGGTAATTAGAATCTATAGAGTCTTCTGAATCAGATATGTATTCACCAAAGAGACCAAAGGGCATAGTACTTCTTTCTGAAAAAGTTTTTAAGATTAATATACGTTAAACTTATCTTCATTATAGATATTTAAAAATGTGTTATGCCAGTTTGTGAAGCGCCTTAATAGCAGAGCATAAGTTATATTATTTTTTTCACTTCCTTAACCTTCTCAAGAGCCATTTATGATATTTTCCCTTTTTGAAGAAGTATAGCTCTGAGGAAATTTTTTGAATTGAACTTTTTCGGATATAGAATAACCTAAGGGTTGTACATAATCTAGTAGTTACTTCACAAGCTATATTCATATAAATATGTTTGCGATTGTAACAAAGTACGTTGCAGAGCACAAACTCAGTAAAGATATGAGTAATGAAGAACTTAGCTAGCATATCCCAGAATTACTCGAGCTTTTGACAGATAAACTGAAAAGAGATAAGGGCCATCAGCGCTTCCAAAAAAGGTATAATTTTAGCAGAGAGCAGACGTTTGTATTAGTTCTTGATCAGAGAATTTATCGAAGTAGAAGTTGAATATCCCCAAAGAAGGAGGGAATGAAGCAGGAGAAGTTAATATATGCTAAGTATCTGATATCATTTCAGACGAAGAAACCATCGAAAGTATAGCCCAACGTATTGTCTAAGATAATCTTGGTGAAAAAGAAGTAAAGGCAATAGCCAAGGTTTTAACTGTAACGTCCTCTAACCCTATCGCCACCACATCCTGTCTTAGTAGGCTCTGAAGAGAGTTGCGGGAACTTAATGCTCCAGAAAAAATAATCTCTGCTACATTAGATGACAAAACAACCTGCGCATCTAACAAGATTCAAAAGGAGCGTAGAATTCAACGTGAAAATGAAGGGATCAATTTTCCAGACTACTTCTCGTTAGAATCAGTTAAAGAAAGATTGGATGGGTATGACGTATCCAATGCATCCAATCTACAAGCTCTAGCAGATGTAATGATAATGCTCTGCATCCATTCTGCTGAAATTAAAGACTTGCACATTTCTAATGAAAGTGTAATTGGGTATTCAAAAAACTGAAAACAGCAGGATAATTCTCAGGTATTTAGATCGTTAGAAAGAGATGAAGAGCGGGCTAAACTTCTTCTTACTTGGATTCAGGGTGCAATTTCTTCTGGACAGTTGAGGGATCCAGGAGTATGAGAGGTTAAATGGTTTAATACATTTCTGAAAAAAGATAGATTTCTTCCTGAAACTGGTAAACCACTCCTCCTTAGCTATTTGCGCAAATTAGAGGCGGTATTTGCAGTCATATCAAATAGTGCAAAGAATTTATCAGAGGCTATGACCATTGCCAGTCAAGCCCTTCAACATTCGTCAGACAACCATGCCTCTTCAGCGCAAAACTATACTATAGTCAATTTTCGAAAAAGAGGACAGCCTTATAATTAGGCAACGGCATTCGAGCTCTTCGATAAAAACTAATCACATAGATGAGTTAGACAACATTTATTAAATTTTATTTTTATGTTCGCCTAAGATCTAACATATATAAAATATCACGAAAATAGTAACCGATCAAAAGTATTCATCTGATAGTGCATGGTTCCAAAGGGACCAGATTATCAGACGTACAGAGAAAACAACCTGAATATTTGGACTATACAAGTAGAATGCAAAAGTATATAGTACGCTTTCTGGAGAAATAAAAGCACTAACAAAAAGGCTGGATCATTATTGTTCTCAGCATAGAAAGCTTAAAAAGAGAGTTAAACTACTAAAAGAACGTGTAAAGTGGCTAGATGATAATGTAGACGAACTATTTACTATGGAACATTGCAATTATAGTAAAGAATTCATAAATACTTCGTCCAAGTCCAGTTCATCTGAGAAATTCGATTCTGATCACACACCACCAGAAAAGAAGGTGGATCTGGCAAAATAATATTTTCCGATTGAAAATTCTTCTATTATATAAAAATGCATGAATCGAATTTACTTGAGCTTCTTCCACCAGAGTTGATATTATTTATTTTAAAATATCTTCCAGATCTAAAACATGCTAGCGGTATAAATGACATATGGAAAAGAGAGGTGAATCTTGAACAGCCAAAAAGGGTAATTCTTACAGATTTTCGATTTAGGATTGACATAGGCGTTAATGCAAATTTCATTAGTGAAAAAATTGTGAAAATAGCATACGCAAAAGAAAATAGTATTCCTAGAGTATACAGGTTTCTAGATGAGTCATATTTCACATTAGGAAAGGTTAATCTACGTATTATCTTAAATGATGGCAAGAAGCATAAAATCATACCACTGAATTTATAGTTACTGGACCAGATTGGCCTGATTAATTTCCTGAAATACTTTTGGGCTCACCATGGATATGAGAAAATAGTGTACACTTAAATATGTGTAATTCGACACTAACAATAGATGATAATTTTGTGATCCTCCCATATCGAAGTTAAATCTAGTCTAACCAATAGTTCGAAGCAGTAATCATTGGTGCAGAATCACATTTTTTTCGATTAAAAATATAATATATAATATGCACTATGTATGGCGCAATCAAGCATCTTTTATTTACCAGAACTATTAGAACAGATTTTACATTTCTTAGTGATAGATAAATCTCTTTATCCCACTCTATTTGTTTGCCAATTGTGGTATAGGTGTGCCATTCCTAGCCTATGGAAACGCATTGAGCTAAAGGGAAAAGGTAGGAAAAATTACTGGCGACTGAATCGATCCCAATTGGAAAAATTTATAAAAATAATACGTAAAAAGCAAAATCCAGTTTATAGTTCAAGTATAACACATCTTAAAATTTCATACTATCATTCACTTTTGGATAAAAAAATTAAAGACATTGTGAGTTTATGTCCAAATATAATCCATTTGAATTTTAAAAGAAGTACAGGTTTTTCTGATAAAGCGCTAATTCTGATAGCAGGAGCATACTCAAATCTAAAGTATCTCAATTTATGCGATTATGCAGATGCTTATGGCACCCTTTATCAAAGATTTACTAATAAGGATCTACTTGCGATATCGAGCTCATGCCATAAATTAGAATATCTTAATATTTATCTACACATGGGAATTACTGAATTAACAATTTGCGATATTATTCGTTTCTGCCTAGGACTCTAACATCTCAACCTTAGCTATTGCGAAGTTACCAATCTGGTTATTGAGAAAATTGCTCATTCTTGTCTCAATTTAAAATACCTTAATCTGGAAGGGTGTGATAATGTTAGCAAAGAAGCCATAGATCAACTTGTTTTACTTAAACCAAATATCCATGTTGAGAATTTCGTGAATACTGTAATGCTAGCCCCATTTGATGCATATTCCGTGATATACGCACTTTCAAGAAGATTGAGAATGCCAGTTGATGCATCAAGAGATGCTACATCTTTACATAATTATATTAATGACGAATTAATGAGGAGAATGACATTATTAGAGTAAGCGTTAGGGTTCTGCAAATGATCTGATTTAGAGCAGTGATCGCGTAATTTTGTGAAGTGCCTAGCAGAGCGCCTTAAGGCTGATGGCTATTTTTTCGATTAAAGATACAGTATATATTATTTATGGCACATTTGGGTGTTATAAATTTACTGGAACTATTAGAGCGGATTCTATATTTCCTAGTGGTAGATAAGTCACTATATCTCGCTCTATTTGTTTCCTGATTATAGTACAGATGTGGTGCCCCTATTTTATGGAAACGCATCGAGCTAAAGTAGAAAAATAAATGTCACTCTCAATTGAAAAAATTTATGAAAATAGTACGAAAAAGACAAAAGCCAGTTTATAGCTCAAATCTAACTCATCTAGAAATTTCAAACTACCATCCACTTTTAGATAAAAAATTCAATGGTATTGCGCGTTTATTCTCAAATATAGTCCATTTAGATTTAAATTTTAGCACAAGATTTAGCGATAAAATACTAAATCAAGTAGCAAAGACATACCCCAATCTGAAGTATCTCAATTTGCAAAAGAGTAGGTACAAAAGTCCTAATGATGAAAAAGTGACTGATAAAAGTCTATATGCAATTGCACAGTCATATCATAAGCTAGAATATCTAAATATTTCTTATCACACAGAGATTATTGGAATATCGATTTGTGATATTATCTATTCTTGCCTAAGGCTTCAACATCTTGAATTTAGCTATTGCAAATTTACTGATGAGATTATCAAAGAAATTGCTAGTTCATGTCTTAATTTAAAGTATCTCAAATTGGAAAGGTGTGATAATATTAGCAAAGAAGCTATAGGTCAGCTCGTTTCATTTAATCCAAATATTCATGTTGAGAATTTCGTGTGTACTATAACACCAGCCTCTTTTTGTGAATATTCCGGGATTTATGAACTATCAAGAAGACTGAGAATGTCAGTTGATGTATCAAGAGATATTAAGTCTATACATGATTATGTTAACAATGAACTAATGAGGAATGGACATTGTTAGAGTAAGCATTAGGGTTCTGCAAATGATCACATCCGTTGAATTCAAAGTTCTTGAACCAGATTGGCCTGATTATTATCCTGACTTAGTATTAGGAATGCTATAGTTTCAAGAAAATGGTGCAACTTTAGATATATGCAATTCAAAACTATTATTAGAACAATAATTTTGCAATCCTATTCAAAGAAGTAAAATGAGAATAACAATCCAGAGCAGGCTGAAGATACTTTGCATAATAGTGTAATTTTATTTTTTGTTTAAAGATACAGCATATATTTTTTATGACGCAATCAAACATTTTTTATTTACCAGAACTATTAGAATATATTTTACATTTTTAGCGATAGATAAATCCCTCTATCACACTCTATTTGTTTCCTGATTGTGGTACAGATGCGGTGCTCCTATTTTATGGAGACGCATTGAGCTAAAGAGGAATAACTGGAGGTATAGCTATAATGTTAATAATCATTTTTGATTGGAAAAATTTGTAAAAATAATGTGCAGAAAGAATAAATCAGCTTATGCCTCAAATGTAACTCATCTAGAAATTACTTGTTACTATTCAGTTTTAGATAAAAAAATAAAAAGTATTGTGAATACATTTCCAAATATAATTCATTTAAATTTCAAAGAAAGTATAGGTTTTGGTGATAGATCACTATTTATAATAGCGGAATCATATTCTAATTTAAGATATCTCAATTTGTGGGATACTGAAGCAATAACCGATAAAGGCTTATGTGCAATCATAGGATCATGCCGTAAATTAGAACATCTAAATATTTCTTACTGCGGAAATATTAGCGATAAATCTTTGTTTGAGATCACAGAAAATTGCCGTAATTTGCAAGAATTCCATTTTGACTAAGCATGTCAGATCACAGATAAATCTATAAGTTGCATCTTAAACTTATGCCCAAATTTATGAAATCTTGATATTTCACATAGTAAGGGAGATATCAAAAATGCTAGTATGTTAATACAGAGATGTCTCAGTATAGAGTATCTTGACTTTGCTGGTGTCATGGCTTTGTGGGATGATGCATTAATTGTGGCTATCATCAGAGCATCTCTGAATTTAAGACATTTAGATATCAATCATAATGATATTAGTGATGAGGTTACTGAAGCACTAGCTCATACTTGTTATAAATTAGAATATCTCGATCTGGATTGCTGTAAATTTGTCAGTGAACCATCAATTTGTAATGTTATACGTTCCTGTCCAAAGCTCTAACATCTTAACCTTAGTTGTTGTAATATTACCAGTATAACTATCAAAGAAATTGCTCGCTCATGTCTCAATTTAAAATTTCTAGATTTGGATGGATATGAAAATATTAGCAAAAAAGCCATGAACCAACTAAATCCAAATATTCATATCGATTTTGATGAAGATTACTGTTCCGATTCAAAATCTTCTAGCTCTGAAACTGAATCAGAGTCTGAATAATCTAACTAGTCCAGAGTGGTGATCTTTAGCTCAGAAGATTTTTGCTGAGCTACAGATTGTGTGACAAAAATAAGTGGATCATCAGTCAGGTCTTGTGCGACATATCATATATATATTCGAAAAAGAAAAAAAACATATTAACCTTTGTTCTTTATTTTTTTCTGTATAAACATAAGAAAAATGTGAAAGGAGGTCTAGTTGGAACACAGGACTTACCCTAAAAGCAAATAGTGCCGACAAAAGCATATGTTATGAAAGGCTGAGAAACTTGCAATTTCGAAATCACCAGGCATAAAACTAAGTATATATCTTTCTGGTAGATCTACATGTGAAAAGGTATGAGGATTCCGTTTACATATGCTTTCATGAAGCTCTTGGCATCATACGACAATGCTAATTACTTATATTTATCCCTCTATCTTTTCCCAACAAGATATAAAGCATGTAGGTGTATGTGAAAGTTCAGCCAACTTTCCGCAAAAAATATTCCTATAAAAAATAATGTAAAATAAGGTATGTATAATATATGTTCTTTAATGCGAGTGGACCAAGCAATTTTCTCACTATGGATTCTTACATTTAGGAGTCGAAATGGATGATAACAACATTACTATCAATTGTCTTATCGTTCCTATAGGAAAACTTATGAATATCCCTTGCGTTAAAGTAATGCAGGTGATTACAGTTGAAGAGGATGAATGTTATAGCTTTCTCGAGGCTACAATTCAAAGCAGATTGGGGGTTGAGATTCCACTCAAAATATGTATAATTCAAGCCAGAAGCAATAATGAAGAGGTAATGAATAGTCGTGTTAATATTTCTGATTATTTTACTGAGAAGCCTAAAGCAGAGCACTTTCATATTACTATATACCCCTGGTTAGAATAATCTTCTGTATCATATAGCACTATAGTCACAATTTTATGTATTGTAGGCTGAGTTCCGGCAACATTTTTTTTATTTCTTAAATAAAGCATATATTACGTTCTTATCGTAAATCTT